TTTTGGATCTTCTTCTATTTCTTTCCTTAATGTTTTGTAATTTGCATTGTACAGATCTTTGACATCCGTGGTTAAATTTATTCCAAGGTATTGGATTTTCTTGTAGCTATCATGAATGGGATTGATCTGAGATGCTCAATCTCAGCCTTGGCATTGCCTGTTTATACAAAGGCTGTTGGTTTTTGTGTATTGATTTTATATCCTGCTACTTTACCAAACTGTTCTATGAGTTCCAGTAGTCTCTTGGTGGAGTCTTTTTGATCCCTTATATATAGAATCATGTCATCTGCAAATAGGGATAGTTTTACTTCCTCTTTCCAAATTTGAATCTCTGATTTATTTTTCTTGCCTAATGGCTCTGGCTAAATCTTCCAGGACTATATTGAGTAGGAATGGTGATAGTAGGCGTCTTTGGTTCAAATTCTCAGTGAGAATGCTTCCAACTTGTCCCCATTCAATAGCATTCTGGCCGCGGATTTTGTCATAAATTGACTTGAGGAATGTTCTTTTTATACCCAGTGTGCTTATTTTTCATCATGAAAGGGTGTTGTATAAGATTGCTTTAGAGGAGGTTCGTCACTTCTGACTTGCCCTTTTCCTCACAGTTGCAGGACACCCCCGTGTTAGTCTCTGGTGTGTTCAGGGTTATATTGCCCTGCTTAAGGAACTGCACCTCTAATCTTTGGAGATTTTCTTGTGGTGAGGTTTCCCTCTGTTCTGAGCTGCTATGGGTCTGCACAGAGCCCTACCTACTGGAGCCTGGCTCACTTCTCAATGGTGGAGGGAGCGGGCTCAAGTTTTCAATATTCAGGACTTTTCCTTGTTGTACAGCTTGTATGTTAGGGAAGAAATTCTTCTGAAATGTTGTCCTCATACTTGCATGGGGGGGTGTGGTGAGGTGGCCCCCACTATTGATGGGCGTTTGTACAGAAGACAAAGGTGGCAGTCCCCTGCTTACATTTGAAAATGTAAGCAAGGGGCTCTGAACCCACTTGGGAGAACTGGAAGAAGCTCCTAGATCCTGGCTTCAGACCGGTGCATCTCCAGCCACTGCAGCCATCTGGGGAATGAATCAATGGATGGAAGACCTTTCTCTCTCTCATTCTGCCTCTGCCTCTCTGAAACTCTGCCTTTTTTTTTTTTTTTTTTTTTTTTTTGGACAGGCAGAGTGGACAGTGAGAGAGAGAGACAGAGAGAAAGGTCTTCCTTTGACATTGGTTCACCCTCCAATGGCTGCCGCGGCCCGCGCGCTGCGGCCGGCGCACCACGCTGATCCGAAAGCAGGAGCCAGGTGCTTCTCTTGGTCTCCCATGGGGTGCAGGGCCCAAGCACTTGGGCCATCCTCCACTGCACTCCCTGGCCACAGCAGAGAGCTGGCCTGGAAGAGGGGCAACCGGGACAGAATCCGGCACCCCGACCGGGACTAGAACCCCGTGTGCCGGCGCTGTAGGCAGAGGATTAGCTTATTGAGCTGCGGTGCCGGCCTATAACGCTGCCTTTCAAATAAATAAATAAATCTTTAAAAAAAAAAGGAAGGAAGGAAGGAAGGAAGGAAGGAAGGAAGGAAGGAAGGAAAAGTAAACCAACAAACAGGCTCCTCCCAGCCAGCTGCAGGTGGGGGTAGGGGCGGTGGGCACGGGGCATTCATTCCTCTATACTATTTCTTTTTACCTGCATGGAACTTCAAAAGCAATTCACCAAGCTTTCCCTCCCACTGCTATCCGCAGCTCCGAGGACCCTGGATTTCCCATCTCACCTGGTCTGCTAGGTGCTGGCACTGGTGCTGACCTGCCGGTGCAGTCCTCCACTGTTTCCCTTTCTCATTTGCTCTTCCATCCTTGATTTGCCCAGTCTGTGTTGCTCTCCTGGGCTTTCCACTGCGAATTGCCTGGCTCAATCTCCAGAGTGTATCTTCTCTCCTTTTAACTATCTGTTTTGCCCCGCGTGACTCCGATTGTCCTGTTGCTATACTGCCATCCTGGGACCCCTTTGCAAGAATAGGGATTTAGAATACAGTTTCTCAAATTCCTTGTAGACAAAAACTAGAGAATTTTAACTTGTGGGCATGAGATGAGTGAAAAAGAAAATATAGGAGCAATATACTACATTTTTATGGTGTTGAATTTATTTAGGTAAAGAAAGTTCATTTATTTTAAGACTATGTCCTTTTACATTTTTGGTGTTAAAAATGCCCTTGCTTTTGTAAAGTGATAAGGGTAGCAAATACTATTTTGTTGTTTTCGATTTAGATTAATTATTGTTTGGGATTTAAATTAATTGTCTTTGATTTGATGGTTGTTTTAGATTTAGATTAATTGTCCATACTTCCTTCACAAGTGTTTTTAATTTATCTTACAATAGGCCCTCAGTTCCTCTGATGTTTTTAAAAGAGTTCCATGGACTCCAAAAATCTGGGCTCTGCCTGCACCAGTGGGCAAAGTTATTCTCTAAGTTCCATTCTGATCATACTACTCTAGAGCTCTTAGCAGAAACAAATGAAGGTTGTGCGCTTCTTTTATTCTTATTGTCAGTTCACTTGCAAAATTAGTTGTAATCAAAGAGCCAACAGCCAAGAACTCCAGACTCCTAAAAATAATCCTGGCATGGCTTTTGTGCTCTCGCAGAGTTGTAAAGATTGCATCTGTGCCCATTTGGGAAGGTTAGTAAAGCCCTGGAAATCTTATTCAGACAAAGAAACACCTGAGACAGTTATAATTCTCCTTATCCCACTTAATGTTTATTTTATATTAAGAGAATTATTGATCCACTCTTATCCAAACACAGTCTTTTACAGTTTGGCACTACAGGGGTGGCAACCGTACTTTCCTCTCAATGGGATCTTTTCTATCAACAATTTGCCATCTCCTCCCTTGGGACTGTGCTTTCCCCAGGAGAAACCCCTTCCACCCTGCTCCACCCATCAAACCACAGGTCCCTAGGATATCACATATAGAAGGCATCTCTGAAGTCATCCAGTGGCAACTAACCATCCAAGGAAACTCACCTACATGAGAGCAGAGATAGGTATGTGATAGAGCAAGAATTCCATGTCGGCATCACCAAGGGAAGCAGCATTAATTTAGCCCCCCAACTGCCACACCTTCCTCATGAAGCCATCACGTGCATGATCTGATTTATTCCTCTGAGTCACAGAATGAGGCAGGTCCTATTATTATCCTATTTGACAGATGGAGTAACTGACACTAAGAGGTTGAGTAATTTGCTGAAAGGCACAACACAAAGATAGGTAATTGAAAGGGGTAATTGAAGAAATTTATTTCTGTAGTGTGATTCCTAAGTAAGTGCTGTTAGCCCCATGCTACACAACTTCGTATTCTCTTTCCTCTAAAACCTTAAACATCTAGCCATTTCCCACACAATATCAAAGGATGCCCCATTTCCTTGATACTTGTTGCTCTTTGAGATTTTCTAAGAATCATCTGAGATGTCGTCAAGCAGTTCATGGAAAATTCATGCTAGGAAAAGACCAAGCAGAGATTTCAAAAATTTTTGCAACAAAATTAACATTTTAGTATCATTTTTCCATGAACTGTTTGAAGTTTCCTTATATACTTATGATTGGGAATCTATCAAACTAACTTTTGTGTCCTGATTCTTACCTATGAAATGAAGAAATCAATTATATCTACCTCACGCAGCTGTTGTTAAGATTAGTTCTGTTTAATGTATAGCACAAAGGAGGTAATATTATTAATCATCTTGTTAAATGATTTATTTATTTATTTAAAGGAGTTACAGAGAGAGAGAGGGAGGGAGAGATTTTCCATCCACTGATTCACTCACCAAATGACCTCAACTGCCAAGGTTGAGTCAGGAGGCTGGAGCTTTAACTGTATTTCTCACATGGGTAGTCGGGCCCAAATACTGAGGCCATACTTCGCTGCTTTTCCCAGGTCATTATCAGGGGACTGAACTGGAGGGGGAGCAGCCAGACCACAAACCAGTGCCCATACGGACGCCGGCTTCACAGGCAGCAGATTTACCTGCTATACCATAATATGGGCCCCATTATCAATCACTGTTGTATCAGGAACCATGTTTATCTTATCACAGATGCCCGGTTGATGGGGTTTTTTTCAATAATCAAGCAAATTAATTTTTATAATGCATAAAATGTATAAGATACAGTAGCATCTCTTAGAGTGCCAATATCCTAGTTGGGAAGGAACCTAAATCAGACTTGAAGTAATAGGAATTGCCAAATGATTTATCGTTTGAACTGCTTATTACAGAAAAAAAGACTGCTAAAAGCTGTTCATTCCCAGTTGAGTTCTGAGAAAAACATCTCCAGGTATCAGATTCATAGGGAAAAACTTGGAACATTCTTTTCTGGGACTATCCAAGTGATGGGTGTACAGGTCATGTAGCTAATCAATGCAGAGTTTGGATATGGTCATGTGTCTGCTCAGCTCAAAATTCATTTTTCCATTATTCTTCCCTACTTCTGAGCCATCCAAACCCCAATTTAAGATGCACGCCTTATTTCCTGAGAAGATGATACAAGTACGTATCACAGGAGATGTTGCTGATCCCAAGGGGCATACTACCTGACCCTGCTTGCTTCTTGCTAAAGCCTCTCTGAGGAATTGGACCAGGCCTGGTGCTGTGACGTAGTGGGTAAAACCATCGCCTGCAGTGCCAGCATCCCATTTGGGCTCTGGTTCAAGACCTGGCTGCTCTACTTCTGATCCGGCTCTATGCAATGGCCTGGGAAAGCAGTAGAAGATGGATCAAGTCCTTGGGCCTCTGCACCCTTGTGGGAGGGCCAGAAGAAGCTCCTGGCTTCAGATTGGCACGGCGTCTGCCCTTGTGGACATTTGGGGAGTGAACCAGCAGGTGGAAGACCTCTCTCTCTGTCTCTTGCTCTTGTTATTCCTCTCTGTAACTCTGCCTTTCAAATAAATAAATAAATATTTTTTAAGAAAAGAATTTGTGCTACTTTTGACACAGTCCTGTCATCCTCACTCTGTTCATTCTAGGAGCATCACTGCCTTCGTATTAAAATCCTGGGAGACTGCTACTACTGTGTTTCCGGACTGCCTGAGCCCCGCCAGGACCATGCCCACTGCTGTGTTGAAATGGGCCTCAGCATGATCAAAACCATCAGGTAATTTGTAATTTCTTCAATGTGAACTGGGCTTTCAATATGCATGATGACTAAAACTCACTTCCTCATCTACCCTTTGTAGTAAACCAAATGCATCATGAAAGGTAGATCCCCTTAACGTATTTCACAAAAGCTATTTGCCCGTTAGTTCTGTCATAGAAACCAATGAGCCTATTAGTTTCATCTCTAATTCTAACTCACTTTATGCCATGAGTTGGTATAATAAATGTCCTCATGGGGTTACAACAAAGAACAAGACGAAGACTGTCCTTTCCTTCAGGGGGTTACAGTGTAGAAGCAAAGATGAACGCATAGACAACTCCAATGTTGTGCAATAGGTTTTGTGACAAATCAAACCTAGGTTCTTTGGGAGGAATAGGTGAAGAATAGATGATTCAGCCAAGGATGTTGGTGAAGCTTTTATGGAGTAGAGATGTCTAAGCTGTTTTCCTAAAAGGTGAGTAGACATCAGCAGTGATCTAGAGGTAGAGTGGGCAGATTTGAGAAGAGAGTGGATGAATGAAGAATCAGGATGTGATACAATGGTAGCTTATGAGACCTGGGCTGGAAACAGTGATATGGATGAACTATGGGTTGGAGTATCCAGGACCTACAGGGCTCTACCAGTCATGTTAAGGAGTCACACATTGCAATAAGGCAAATAGAAAATCATTAAAGGGCTTACACCAGGATTCGCTTCACGGGTATATGGCAAGTATTTTGGGCTTAGCTTGCATATATGGTGAATAGCAGCTTAATCAAAATGAGAGAATTTATCGAGACTAAGAACTCTGGGACCTAAACTGTGTGTGGCTTTCAGATAGAAGCTCAGTTCTGTCTTACTCCTTTTGAAATTTCAAAATAGTGACAGAGATCTAAATGTCATCTTCACACAACCACAACAAAGGCATTAACAAGAAGATACAAGAACAGAAATGTCTTCATTTTGAAATATATACCCACAAACACACATACATACAAGTATTTAAATTTTTTATGGAAAAACTGTATCGATATCTTGACGTAAAACAATTTAGAAATCCATGTTTAGTTTTTTCACAATGCACACTTCTCATGAACTTTTTGAAGACTTGTCAGTGTGTGTGTGTGTGTGTGTGTGCGTGCGCATGCTCGTGCAGAGAGAGACAGAGAGATCTTCCACTCTGGTTACTCACCAAATGCCAACAACAATTGGCACCAAGCCAAGCTGAAGCTAGGAGCCCTGAATTCCGGGTATATCTCCCACAAGAGTGTCAGGGACTCAAGTAGCTGAGCCATCACATATTGTCATCCAGTGAGCACGTTAGCAGGAAACTGGGTTGAAAGCACAGTCAGGACTTGAACCAAGTGAACCTATGTAAGCTACAGGAATCAGAAATGGCAGCTCATCTACGGTGCCACATTCCTACCTTGTAATAATATTTTGATGAGCTGTTAGTAATAGGGATATAACATCCAATTAATGAAATAGAAACACTCAAAAGCCATTTCAAGCTAAGTTCTCTTTGTGAACTTTTGCTGGACTCTGCACCCAAATACATAGAGTATTCAGTTGGTTGAAAACAATGGTTACAATAAAGAAGCAACAAGAGTTCATCAGACCGGGCTTAGGTGCTTAGGAAGGTGGGGAATCAGGAAGAACCAAGGGCCACGGTTCTTGCTGTCTTACGGTCAAAACCTGGGATCCCTTCTTTGTCTTGGCAGGATCATATTTTAATATTTTCATTCAAATGAGAAAGAATTCGGTGTTAAGAAGACAAAAACACTCATTTATGGGATACCTAGTATAATTCTAAGTATTATCTATATAAGTTTTTCAGCCCTGTTCTGGGCCACTACACTAGTCCTGAGTTGCCCAGATAGGTGACAGGGGATCCAGAATAATTCTATCTGCATCCACACTCCTGTACAAACTGTTAGATCACTGTTCTAGTGTTGGGCAGAGACCTTTCCTTTAACAGAAATAATGTGACTATAGAGAAAGCAGCCTATCTTTAGAAAATGACATATATGTTAGAAAAATAAACAGTTTTAAGTCTGTGCATCCCATATTTCCTCATGGAAAGGAAAATCTTTGAATAGCAATTCCACAGTTCTCATGCCCCATTCAAAGGATACCTCTGAAAGTCTCCCACTAAGCCAAGAAGAGAATTCAGGTGTTAAGCAGGTGAGATGAACTTATGGTATTTTTCTATAAGACACATGATTAAAACTAAGCCTTCACCACCTCTGTGACCACGTAGGATGATGAGTAAAGAGATTAAAAATGTCCACTGCACGATTTTCCTGTCTTCTGTAAAGTTGGAAGAATTCTCTCCTTTAAACACTATGGAGAGAGGATCCTAAAGATTCCAACCATGAGTTTCCTTTTGGCCAGCCATTGGTAAATGGAAAAGGTGGTAGATGTTTTACACTGCTAATTTGGACACATGGGTATTTTCCCATGAAAACTAAAATTAACTGTAATAATGTGTTAACTGGTTTTGAGGAAAGTAATGGGACTGATATCCAGAAGCCTGGATATCCTTACAGCTAATTAGGAACCCGAACCTTATTCTATCAATCAATAGGTCAGTCAATAAATGCATGTTGAGCTCTACCACGTGCCAAACACTGTACAATGCCCTGAAAATAGAGTGATGATCTTGTCACTCAGGGTTCCTTCCTTATGGGTGTCCATTAAGGAGATCACTGGATTTTTTGGCACATAATCAGGAAATCAGGTCAGGTGGTGGCTCTGAAGTCTCTGACAGTTGTGAAAATTGAGTTGGTAACACAAAAAAAATAAGGTGCTACACTTTCCACAGACTTTCAATAGGAATTTGTATAGTAACTGCAAGCATAAGAATTGCTGCAGAGATGTCATTGCAAAATAAATGAATATCTACTATGAAAATGCTTTAAGATACCTACGGCAATATAATTTATATTCCTGGAGAGAACCTGGTCCCCCTGACCATTTTATCCAATCAAAGTCTTTCTTCTTGTGTGTTGGAATTGGGGAGTAAGAAGTGAAATTTAGAATATTGAAATGACTCCAGGGCTTTCTTGTTTAAAATTTTTAAGGAATTTATGAATACCTAAGATTCTCAGCAAAACAGGTCACAGCAAATGAATGATAATTACTACAGCACAATTTCATGAATTCTTATGTTGATGTGATATTAATACAAAGAACAGATTCAATGACATATCCTCGTCACTAGGCCCCAGAAACATCTATAATTTCCTTGCCTGGGTAAGAGTTATCATTTTTACACAAATGACAAGCAGACACTCAAAATGACCCTGGTCCTTCACTCACTGACATTCCAAATGTGTAACAAAAGTACTCTATGAATCAGACACATGAGGACAGAGTGTCAAAGTTCAGAAAGGCCAAGGTTGGCTGCTATTAGAGTACCAGCACGTTTCAAAGTGAGCAAGGAGAAGAACAAGATGATGCAGCAGGACATCATCCCATACACACAGAGAAATATCAATTTAAGTGACCATCCACACAGAAAAATAACTTCATTAAGCTGAAGAAACCAAAAAAGAAATCGCAGTGTGTAGTTATAGCACAAAAACAAGAAAAGACATATTTGAGAGCAAAAAGGACAATAGTTATACAACATACACATCATTCTTCTACCAACTCCTGGGTAGCACAGTAGAGAAAGATATTGTATCCTTGGGATAGAGAGAGAAGTAAGCTGACAACTTTACCTTGGACTCCAACACTAGGCCTGCCACAGAAAATCCCAGAAGATTCCCAGTCAAATATTCCAGGATGATACTTATGGACTTAGCCTTAGACCTGCCCTGATGCAAGGAATAACCACAAAGCCTCAGCTGTCAGGCTTAGTGATGAGTTCAGTCCCTGGTATGCACCACCTCTGACATCATATTTTCAGGTTTTCTCTGGACAGTGCTCAGCAGTAGGAAGGCTTCAGTGGCCCCTGGATTCTGGTTTTCAAAGCAAAAACAGTCTTTGAAGACTGGAATAAGTACCTACTTTTTCAAACTCATGTATATCAATGCATGACCACAAGGACTACAGACAACTAGGAAACCAAATAGTCTCCAAATAAACAAAATAAGGTTCCAATGACTAACCCTAAACAAATAGAGACCTAGTAACTGCCTGACACAAAATTCAGAATAGCTGTATTAAGAAAGCTGAGCAAACTTGAAGAAAACATACAGGAACAATTCAATGAACGAAGGTAAATGATGTTATTAAAATTAAAATCTTAATAGAATGAGATAAAATTAAATAAGTGAAAAAGAAGTCCTGAAGCTGAAAAATACAATGAATGAAAATATACAATGGACAGCATGAACAGCAAAATTGGTCAGGCGAAAGAAATAATAAACTATAAGATTTTGTGAAAATATAATGTAAGAGGAGAAAAATGGAATGAAAAGGAATAAAGAAAGCTTACAGGATTTATGGGAGAAATTTAAACATACATGCATAAATGAATCATAAGGTATCAAAAAACAGAAAAAGGAAATAGAGGTAGAAAGCATTACAAATATTAAGAATGTGGAAACTATCCAGGTACAGGAATGCCAAAAATCTCTAATAAGATTCAATACAAATGAGTATACCTCAAGACATATCATAATCAAACTGTTAAAAATCTAAGAAAGTGAGAAGATACCAGAGGTAGAGAGAGAAAGGAAGCAAAAAGCATATAGAGAGTTCAAATAAGGTTAGCAACAGACTTCAGTATAAACCTTACAGGCCAAGAAAGAGTGGAAGGACAAATTCAAAGAGCTGAATTTTAAAAACCAACAGTCAATAATTATTTTTTTTATTTTTTAAAAATGCTTTATTTTGAAATACAAATACAGGAAATTATTTTCTAACAGCTTTTTGAGGTGCAAATGACATCACATTACTTTTTTTTTTTTTTAACTAGTGAAGTTGTCCTTCAGAAATGAAGGGGAGATACTGTCCCAGATAAACAAAGTTAAAAGAATTCAACCTCACTAGAGCTATGTTATAAGAA